TAAAACTATCATTATTAGAAGGATTATCTTGGAAAAAAAATGCATAAATATAAGAGATAAAATGGATTGAGTCTTATAATTAGGACCAAATAAAAAGTCAAATTGGGTCTTATAATAAGGACCGGAGGAGTAATAGCTTAAATGTGTGCATCCAAGTAGTTAGAACTTCTCAAAAGTGATTTGTAATCTGTATTATTCTAGGAACACTGACAAAAGAGTAGATTATCCATTTGGCTCCTGATGCCTGCTATGAGGACAACACATTTAATGTGGACCCAAGTTTGTGACAACTTGAATGCGCAATAAACTATGTTCAACTATGTAGTGAGGAGCAACAAAATTGTGGAAAGAACAGACTGGGTGATCTGCAGCTCAACACATGAACTTGAGGCTCCAACATTTTCTGTTGCTCCGCGGATTCTTCCTATAGGTCCGCTTCAAGCAAGAAAGAACAACCACTTTGATCATTTAACAGGATCCTTTTGGCCAGAGAACTCAACTTGCTTGAATTGGCTAGATGTACGGCCAGACAAATCAGTTATTTATGTTGCTTTTGGAAGTCTAGCTAAACTTGATTTTTACCCAGAACCCAGTTGCAAGAGCTAACATTGGGACTTGAACTTTCAAACAAGCCATTTCTTTGGGTTGTAAGATCAGATATCAATAAAGGGGCAAACTACGGGTTTCTAAAAGAATTTGAAGACAGATTGTGTTCTCATGGGAAGGTAGTGGGTTGGGCTCCTCAGCAAAAGGTTCTACGTCATCCTTCAGTTGCTGCTTCTTAAGCCATTGTGGTTGGAACTCTACCATAGAAGATGTCATCAATGGAGTGCCTTTATTGTGTTGGCCTTTTTTCACTGGCCAGTTTATTGATGAGACCTACATTTGTGATATTTGGAAGGTCGGGTTAAGGCTTGACCGCAGCAATGTGATAATTAACCAAGAAGAGATAGCATCTAAGATTAAGCAATGATGAGGGATTCAGAGTAAGGGCTTTATAGCTGAAGGTGTTGGCAGGGGAATGGTTCACTGAAAAGTATAAGAAGAGATATAGAAAAAGCGGTGCATGATGTCTTCAAGGCGTGGACAACACTCTCTTTTAGGTTTAATTCGCCCCCACCTATTCCTATTTTATAGGGTGCAAGTTGGAATGCTCGACAAATTTTCTTCAGAATACAATGAAGACCCTTTGAATATGGATTGTACTTCTAAAATTTAAGCAAAGACAACAATAGTTTTTACAAGGTAATAATTTGATTCTATCTTTACGTGCACTCAAAGACAGAGGCAATGAGTTTGATTTTTATGTTTGTGTTATATTGTTTTCAGAAAAAGTGATGGTTAGGGATTTATATAGATCATGAAATGATGCCTTGAAAAGATACCTTTTGGAATAATACCTTATTAGTTAAAAAGTTACAACCATATGTTGGTTCATGAACTAACATAATTTAAATAGATACAATGTATTTGATATATAGGGTTTTTTGGTGTTTTAACTTCCTACGTAACCCTTCATATAAATATATTAATTTATATGAAGACACAACCCCTCATATAAATATATTAATTTATATGAGAACATAACCCTTCAAATAAATTTATTAATTTATATGAAGATATAACCCCTCATATAAATTTGTTAATTTAATAAATTTATATAAGAATATGATTTTTTAAAAATACATCTCTTCATTTTAAAAATATTCCAACAATCCCCCACTATTTTTAAAATGAACCCTAACTCTTGTCACTTCAAAAATCTCATGTTTTCAGTAAAGGTATCTTAAGGATTTGAATCTTTACCTAAGACATGGTTTCAGCCATCCGAAATAATATGGTAGACTAAGCTTTGAACCAATTATCCTACTTGAATAGGTGTGCATGACTCATGTATGGGATCTTAAATCACTGTATGTCACTTAAAATGACATGTTTATGGCCTTGTGTCCGTACCCTTTTCATGAAGAGTTTTCAGAGTCAAGTTCTTAGACTACTAGAAGCGGCCTCACTTCACTCTCATATAGGTAAACTCTATCAAGAGCACCACCATGATTAATGCTCCAGCAAATATATGCTTATAAATCTATGCCAAATTAAAGGTCAACCTTTCCCTTTTAAACCTCATGGTTGCCAAGTACTTTTCAACCTTGGGATGTATAAACATATCAAGTACTTGCAATCACTCTAATAGTGTACTTTCATCATTGAACCCAAGAATTGATATGATGGTCAAGTGTGAGTTAGGTTTCCACTATCAATGATCAAGATTTATAAAGCTTCAATCCTATCCCCTTTGATATTTTCAACATCATTTCTCTTGCTAAACCTTTCGTCGAAGGATCTACAATATTCAATTAAGATTTTATATAACTTATGAAAATTACTCCATTCATAATCAGATTCTTCACAGAAATATGTCTCAATCCAATATGTCGTGATTTCCCATTATAAACTTGGCTATAAGCCCTTGAAAGAGTAGACTGACTATTACAATGGATAGATATTAGTGCTATTAGCTTAGGTCATATAGGAATTCCAAGTAACAAGTAGAGTCTGCAATACAAATTTGTTTCTTAGATCCCCAAGAAATAGCACCTCCACCTAAAATAAAGACCCATCTACTTGTAGAAGCATGATCCTATGAGTAACTTATCCAACTGGCATCTGTATGTCTTTGCAAAATTAAGTAAAAGTATAGACTTGCACCCAAACTTATTAAGTAAAGGTATAGAAATTAAATTCTTCCTAACTTTTGGTACATAATAGATACAAAACAATGTACTTGTTAGCATCTAAAATACTTGTACTGGTATATCATTACAAGAAGGGGCTCTAATGAACTTGTTGCGGGTGTCAAAATTTCTTTTAAGTTAATGGATTTTCTTCAACAATATCCTAGTTTTCTTTTCATTCTTTGTGGTTGTTTTGAGGTGCTTTTATCGAATTAACCTAAGGCTATGAATTCCAGTTCTTAGATACATGTAAGTTCATGACAGAACTAAATAGATTAGAGTCACAGTGTTTCAGAGAGTGAAATTTGATGCACTACAATAGATTATTCAACTCCTACATGAAAGATTTTCACATTAGCAGCTGTTTTTATGCTTCCTAGTTCTGAAGTGAAACATTTCGGCAATATTTTTTGGTCTTAGTCACTCTAGGCCGCCTCTGGTTTCCCAAATATTTTTATAGAAATAATTTTATTTGATGCATCGGGAAAAGTATGAGCATTGGTTATTTTATTTGTGTTTGGTTCGATGGAATGGCTATAATATCCCTGCTACAGAAATCACTTAAAATATTTATTAATAAAAAGTTTCAAATCTTATGACAAAAACATATTGAAATGCTACCTCCAATCTTACATATAGAAGATAGATAATTTATTTTGGTATTAAATATAAAACTTCAATCCATTTTGTATCCTAAATTTGTTGGAATATTTTTAAAATGAAGAGATGTGTTTTTCAAAAGTCATGTTCTTATGTAAATTTAATAAATTAATAAAGTTATATGAGGGGTTACGTCTTTATATAAATTAATAAATTCATTTGAAGGGTTTTGTTCTCATATAAATTAATGTATTTATATGAGGGGATGTGTCTTCATATAAATTAATATATTTATATGAAGGGTCATGTAGGAAGTTACAATACTAAAAGACTCTACATATTAAATGCATTTTATTCATTTAAATTATGTTGGCTTATGAACCAACATATAATTGTGACTTTTCATTAATAAGGTATTATTTCAAAAAGTATCTCTTCAAAGCATTATTTCATGATCTATATAAACCTTTTACCATCACTTTATTTAGACACAAGACAACACAAGCACAAAGATCAAACCCATTGCCTTTGTCTTTAAGTACATGCAGAGATAGAGTCAAATTATCACTTTCTAAAAATCATTGTTGTCTTCGCTTGAGTCTTGGAAGTATAATCCATATTCAAGGGTCTTCATTATATTTTAAAGGAAATTCGCCAGCCATTCCAACTTGCAATCTATAAGACAGGAATAGATGGGGGCGAATTAAGCCTAAAAGAAAGTGTTGTTCACACCTTGAAGATATCGTGCACCACTTTGTTCTTCATCCCTTCTTGTACTCTTCAGAAAACCATTCCCGCCAACAAAATTTATAATTTTCGCCTGAAGTATCCCTATTAAATGCATATAGTAAGAAGACTTTTATCAAAAGGTAATTATAATATATTATTAGAAAGGGTATTTAGGTGGGTGGTTGACATATCCTGTTGTGACCGTGAAGCAAACACTGTGGCAGATAGCATGGCTACGGAGGCTAGGGGAATGTTGGTCGACTTCCTTGTGCTGAACACGCCCCCGGAAACGGCTAAAGGCTTCTTACAGTTGGATAGGAATAATGTCTACTCTTGACAGTTCAGTTGCTTAGTTTGTAATAGATGCCCGCTTCAATCAAAAAAAAAAAAAAAGAAAGGGTATTTAGGAAAATCAACATAGTATACATTTGTTACAAACAACTAACTTCTAACTTAATTAATTTTGTTAAGATTTCCAAATTAGTTATTTAACTTTTATAACAAGGATATAGGAGGGAGTAATATATATCTATATTTTTATTAAAATGAATTTTTCTATTTATTACAAAATATCCTTGAGAAACTAAAATGGATCTACTTATGATCACGATTCATCGTACATAAAATAGATTATATTGAAGGATTTTCACATAAGAAATCTAATTCCACGTCTAAATGTTTCCAATAAGGTTTTATATAATTGGAGCTAATTCCACATCCAAATGTTTCCAATCACGTTTTACGGAATTGGAGCATCTGTGAGGAAACTGTAATTACTGGTATTCATCATTAAACATCCACATCACATCCCAAAATAATATGATTCCATTTTTAATAAAAGAAAATATCAAGTTTTGATAACACTGGGAAGTATTTACCTCTCATAATCCCTGGAAATTTTTCCCATGAAATTTCAGAATCCAGGATAATCAAACGATGAGTAGAGCACATGTTTTGGTTTTGCCTTTTCCAGCACAAGGCCATGTGAATCCTCTTATGGATCTTTCACATGAACTGGCCAAACATGACATCAAAATCACATTTGTGAACACAGATTTCATCAACAAGCAAATCATGGAAGCTGAGGCAACAAGAAATGAAGATAAAGAACAAGTGGGAAGTGATCAGATTCAAATGGTCTCAATCCCAGATGGGATAGAACAAGAGGAGGACAGGAATCGTTGGGAGATATTAATCGAGTCAATCTGGCAAGTTATGCCAATGAAGCTTGAACAGCTGATCCAAGAGATAAGTGAAAAATCAGAGAATGAAAAGATTAGTTGCGTAGTTGCAGATGCTGCCATGGGATGGGCACTTGAAGTTGCAGAGAAGATGGGAATCCATCGTGCTACGTTCTTGTCTACATCAGCTGCGGTCTTGGCCTTGTGTTTCAGCATTCCAAAACTGCTTGATGATGGAATTATTGATGATGATGGTGAGACCTTTGTGCTTAACTTCGTTTTTCTCCCCTTTTTTCTGCATTTTCTTTCACAAATGGAAATGATGATTAAAAACATGATGAGTATTTAGTCTTACATACATCAGAAATGATCAAACTACTTATAGTTCTTCTCTTAAAACTATTTTAAGTGCATGGTTGGAGTAAAGTTGTTGAACTTTAAGTAGTTTGATCATTTCTGATGTATGTAAGACTAAATACTCATCATGTTTTTAATCATCATTTCCATTTGTGAAAGAAAATGCAGAAAAATCAGTTACTAGCAGAAGCCATGTTTATGGGGAAGGTAATTTTTGTTGTTTCCAGTGCGTGTCACGTTGCTTCCCCTCTGTACTTGTCTTATTTGTCCTTACATGATGTCAATGGACAACATAGAGAGAGACAATTTTAAAGAAGACAATGTGAGAAAGAAGAAAGAGAAGATAACTGACCATCTTTTTTTTTTTTTTTTTTGGAGACAAGACAGAAGACAACTTTAATTTACAAAAATCAGTAACTATAAAAGTCACTTTTACAAAAGCTACTCCAAATAAGCTAGAATTTGAATAGAAATTGTTCATAAGAATTTGAATAAAGTATGTCGCACGTATTACAACTGAACTATACAAAGAATCGAGTTTGATCACAATTAACCTATACACAAGTATAGGATCAATACTTAATAGCTTCAACTTTCTAGTATATTTGCATATATTGTGTATATATAATCATGACAAGTAATCTAATCTCTATTGCAGGAACACCAACAAAAGATCAAATTATTCATTTGGCGCCAAATATGCCTGCTATGAGAACAAAACATTTTCCTTGGGCACAAATGGGTGCTGGCTTGAATGCACAAAAACTTGTGTTCAACTGTATGATGAGAAACAACGCTGCAGAAATTGCAGAGTGGGCGATCTGCAACTCAGCTCATGAACTTGAGCCTTCAGCATTTGCTTATGCTCCAAATATTCTTCCTATAGGTCCACTCCAAGCAAGCAAGAGCAACCATGTTGATCATTTGGCAGGATCATTTTGGCGAGAAGACTCAACTTGTTTAAACTGGCTTGATCAACAACCAGATAAGTCGGTCATTTATGTTGCATTTGGAAGTTTCACCATCTTTGATCTCCTCCAATTGCAGGAACTAGCACTAGGACTTGAACTCTCAAACAAGCCATTTCTATGGGTCGTAAGATCTGATATCAACAATGGGGCAGTCAATGCCTTCCTAAAAGAATTTGAGGATAGATTATGTTCTCATGGGAAGGTAGTTGGTTGGGCTCCTCAGCAAAAAGTTCTAACGCATCCTTCAATTGCTTGTTTCTTGAGCCACTGTGGTTGGAATTCTACCATTGAAGGTGTCATCAATGGAGTGCCTTTCTTGTCTTGGCCTTACTTCGCTGACCAATTTCTGAACGAAACCTACATTTGTGATATCTGGAAGGTTGGGTTAAGGCTTAACCGAGACAATGGGATTATCAGTCAAGAAGAAATAACATTTAAGATAAAGCAACTGCTCAATGATGAGGGTTTAAGAGCAAGGGCTTCAGAACTAAAGGAAAAAGTCATTGACAATGTCAAAGATGGTGGCAGCTCAAACAAGAATCTGAAGAACCTTGTTGATTGGATAAAAGCATAAACAAATAATTTCATGTCCGTAATTAAAGTCTAACAGGGCAAGAACAAAAACAACCTCTCTGCAAGAGGGAACTTTGACGGACTTGTTCAGGAACTGAAAAAGATCTTCCAAGTTGATGCATTCTCTTTCACTGGTTTGTTTTGTTTTTATGGACTTTCAGCTGTTTCAAAGGACTGTCTCTCTGAACACCCCCCCCCCCAAAAAAAAAAAAAAAAAGAAAGAAAAAAAGTCAACAAGCCTAACAACAAAAGCTAAGAGACGATGTTGAAATTCAGGCCACTGATGCCAGCGGTTCAATTCAATTTGCTTCAGTCTTTCTGCCTCAAGTAGAAAGTCTGCAACCCAAAATCATAAAGTTCATATTTCCAAATTAATTAGTCCTGGCAATCTACAGTACTCAATAATAGCTCCACTTTATGCTTCAATGAGTATGAAGATAATGCATCATAGATATTCACAGTTCCAGCTAACATGAGACTGGTCACTCTCTTACAGCAAACTGAACACAACAAATATGAAAGCAAAAGCATATATTGTCTTTGTTACTATTTTATCAAGAACATCACGCCCACAATGCTATGGTGCTATCATTTGCACCTCTTTCAGATGAGAGTACGCATCAATAGCTTATTGAATGCTACATAGTATATTATTTGCATAAACAACCAGCATACATATTACACGTTGATACCAGACAACGTATGCTTAAGGAAAATAACTTTGGAATGGATGGCTTCCATAATGTGCCACTGCCAATGTGCCGTGCATGTTAAGTTCAAAATAGAACAAACTAGCTCAGAAGCACAATGTTTCAAAGAGGCAACTTCGATAAATAATCATGGTGATTATGCAACTTCTACTTGAAAGATTTGCACATAAGCAAGTAATAATTTTTTGCTTCCTTGAGCTCTTAAGTGAAATAATCTGCCAATAATGTTCATTCTCAATTCACTCCAGAAGCTGCATTCTGAACGTAAAACAAAGTCATCCTAGCCTAAACTCCATCATGCACAATTGATGCAATTAATCCCGTATCCAAACATTAGAATAAATTTCATTAAGAATAGCCAGCACTGGATCAATCTTCTTTCTTTGTAGGTTTTCCAAAGCTTGCTAATTATTTTATTCATCTAAGCAGGGGAACGATCCTTCTTGGACAAGAACGAGCATCATTGGAAGTGAACCTGTAATAACCCAAGTTTTACCAAGATATTTATACCTGGTAACAAACTTAAGAACCAAGCAACTTTTTCCATCTTGCATATCCATAAACAATGAAAAAAAGCAATATGCTAGCTGCAGTAATGCCCCCAACAAATGGCCAGAAAACTCCGTGAGTCTGGTATAATGTACAAGGGATGTTCATACCAAACATGCCAGCAATCAAAGTCTCAAAAGCAATGGCAAATGATGCAATGGTCAGTGTCAGCTGAAGCTGAATAAGTTCATTTCGATGGCTGTCAAGTTGGATGTTAACATAGTCCTCTGTGTCGTCAATATACTCCCTCACCTGCAAACCCATAGCCATGGAGTAAGAATAAAATGAGGGTCAAATTCCTTTATTAAAAAAAGAATGAGAGTCAATTCCATCACAATTAACTAATACAAGTAAAGGCAAAATCTAGTAACAACTTTTTAAATACTTACCACAACTTTACTGATAAAAACAAAATAAACCAGTTTAACATTTTTTACATCTTAACACATCATCAACTCTTTCAAATAATTTTTCATACATGTTGTGCTTTTACTAAGGAAGCTAAAAGGAAAGGGGAAAAAAATGAAGTTTTCCTTAGTCCTTACAGAAACGCTTCCTATGAGTGATGACTACTTAAATTCAAATTAGGCAGCACTTGTGACAATTCAGTATCCATCACCTAACTCATCATTTGGTTCAATGACACATAGACTACTTCTTGCCTACTTCCTCCCTTGGGCCAGAAAAAGATCAGCATAATCTAAACAATTTTATGTAACAGATAAATAAAGTTAGCTAGAGGGGTTAACAGGTAGTCCTGATGGATAGTTGATTATTGTCTATATATAAAAGAGAATATAGGGTCATCATAATCAGTGCATTTGGACTAATGGAATAGAATTGAGTTTCTTTTCTCTCATTTCCTCTCCTCCTCCCTGCCTCTGTCTCTCTCTCTTCCCTCTCTTTCCCAGCTAAATACCATAGCAGTAGTATCCAAAGCCAGGCTCCATGGAACACCCCCGGGCTTATAGAGAGAGAGAGCAATAGGAGAGATACAGAGGAGGAGGGGAAAAGAAAGAAAAGAAACCCTACTATTCCATTAGACCAAACGCAGTGATTACAATGACTCTTTATTCCTTTTTATAGACAGTAATCAACCATCCTAACTACCTGTTAACCCCTTCAATAACTCTTATCTATCTATTATTATATAGAAAACAAGCACACAATTCAGTGGATCCCACAGCCGAAATCATCGGTCCACATTGAGTGCAGACACAACAACTTGTAATAGCAGCCAACCTGGCAAATAAAGGGGGCAATAACCACAATGATCGTCATAAAAAAACTTACTGATAATATCTTGTTCCGTGTTCCATCCAACTGCATAAAATATGCCTCAAGCAACATCTCCAGATCCTCAACATCAGAATCATCCACCACGTTGCTAGTGATAAGACTTCCACTTCTATTAGAGCCATGGTGAGGAACAAGAGCTGCAGTAGCAAAGGCATTTGAGGCAGTGGCTCCCAAGAGAACCTCAGATTGCTGATTCTGCAACCACTTCCTAGTCAAATACAACTGTGCCATATCGTGGTTGTCATCTAGAAGATGTTCAATTTCATCCCGCACCTGAAGAAAAATGATCATACACATTGCTAAATATGATGTTAACTCCAATATGATTGCATGCATCATCAAATGATACATATTATTAATTAGCTGCAAGAATTTGTGTTTAAGAAAGCAATGACTTCTGAACAGCTCATAAACAGAAATCAATAAATTAGAGGGGAAGGAGATATATTGTTCTTTTCTTTGTTTTAGGACCACATTGTTGAATGCATATAATCATCAGTAAGATTGAGGATTAAACTCCATTCTTGAAATTTTCAACCAATACAGCATGCAGAAGGTTGATCTGATATCAACCTTCCAATAAAAGAAGCAAGTAGAGGCCATCGTTAATGCCCATTCCAATTCAAGAAACAGAAACCCCCCCCAAAAAAAGGATCAGACTTGTAAGAATTTTAATCCCACTTACATATTTTAAAATACTTTTTTCCCCCAAAGCTATCCTTGGTCACTTACTGCAGCCCCACGGAGAAAGTAGTCCTTACCAGAGGGACAATAACCACCAGAAAATGAATATATTACATAATGCTTAATGCAGCAGCGTACCTTTTGCACACGTGCCAGCAAACGTGTAAGGTTGCTTTTCAAACTTCGCACATGTTCAAGATTCTTGGTGCTAACATTTCTAGCCAATTCATCCAATACAGGGTATGCACCTTTCTCAAGGTCTGCCACATTTGAGTCCAGATATGTACAGACAACTTCTAAAGCAATCTCTAAAACTTGAAACTCAAACGGAAGCTCAGCTTGCAAACCATCTGCGGGCTCTGGCACAGGTAACCATTGTCTGCCAGTTGAAACAAGCAGTTCATTTTCTTGTTCTTCTGCATGGCCATGAAGTTTTGGCTGGGTTTTATACGGAAGTTGTTGCCTTAGTTGTTCAACAAATGGAAGAACCTCATGGGAAAGAGGATCAAGAACAAGGACTTCTTCGGCCGTGACTATAGCCTTTATAAACTCCAAATTGACTACCATTGCTTTCTCCCTGGCTGTGAGAAGCATATATTGCAACATGAAAATAGAGGAATATCAATCCCGTCCCACTTATAAGGCAAAGATAGAAGAAAATAATAACAAGGCATGCCATTAATTTTTTATCACCACTTTCCCCTATTACCCCTCACTAAATGCTGGTGCGTGTTATTTTATTCTCAAAGCATGTATGACTTCATAGGGACAAAGTTAGAAACTTATTAAATTTTTAGACAGAGTCAATAAGTTTTAAGGTTTTCCTTGTTTCTAGTGAAACACCTTGAAAGTGACTTATAAGTTATAAATAGAATAGATTAGTAATATAAAGACCTGGTTATAACCATATTCTGCTTAAGAGCTGAAACAAAGATAGTGAGTACTGAATAGTATCAACTGTACTGATATAGGTTATTACGGTGCTAGAGTGTCCAGAAAGTGGACCTCAGCCCAAACTTTAAGATCAAAACAAACTCGCATACAAATTATGCATTATTTCCCCGCCACGTTCAAACTGCAATCTCGTCTTTTCACCAAGTGCTCAAGAAATTCAGCTTGAGATACCGCACAAACCTTTTATAAACAATCGCAAAAAATAAACAAAATTTTCTGGAAAGCAGTGACACTCAGAAAGCCATACACAAAACAGTTGATAGGTAAGAAGGAAAAACACAATACGATCCAAATTCATTACCAAGAATATTGGAGGAGTGAGAGAAGAGAGGGCCCAAAATTCTCAAATCCCTGGCCGGAATCGCCGCGACTCTGATAATTGCGTTCTTATCCAACTCAACGAGCTCCGATTGACCCGACCGATCAAACCTCATCCACAACCTCGCGACGCCGGCCTTCTTCTTGGTCTTTACCAACGCCCCACCACCACCCCCACCAGGTGAGCCCAAAGTCCCGATTGTCTGCTGCTGCGGCGGCGATGGTGGTGGCCGATGATCAGCCGCCTTCTTTGGGCGACGGCGTAAGCTTGAGGATCGAAAGGAGAGAAGACCCTTACCCTTATTTTTACCCATATTCTTCCCTATATCACACAAATTCCTTTAAGTGGTAGGAACAACAACTGTCAATCCCCTTCGGGATTCTCAACTTCGTCGTCTTCTTCTCCGGGTCCTCCTTCACCACTCTGATCTTCCATACAAGGCTTTTGGTTAGAAGCTTAGTGTTAGTTTGGGGTTTTGTTTATATTTTATACCGTATAACGGATACGATCAGCGAAGGTTACTTTCTCCTGAGTTCTGACTTCCGATCTGAATACGGCCTCCATGATTTTTTTTTTTTTTTTTCTTTTTTAACATGAATTTTTGGAGGAAAAAATGTTTAATATGTTTATTAATTTTATTAAAGAATACCCTCTTCATTTTTTCATAAGTTATATTTTAAAAAATAATATTTTATTTATAAATTATTTTACAAAATGTATGATATAATTAATTTCTTAATAATATTCTTGGTGTCATGTGGATATTTTTAAATGATTATAAAAGAACAAACAATACACTGATTGATTTTAACCAACTTAATTAATATAAATTAGTTTAAAATGACTTATAAATAAAAAAGGAAGTGAGTAATTGAAAGATCTTCATTTTGGCGTATGTAAAGTATAGGGTCAATTTTATAATAATTTGAATAAAATTTTGTATAATTTTATATATTCTAAGCTTATTTTCAACATTACAAGCTTACGGGAATTGATTTAGAATTTTATGAAATTGGTCAAAAAGTGAACCCGATCAGCTCATCAAACCAGTAAAAAATCATATAGTACTTGTGGTCATAAATATAAGAGTTAATTGACTAATTTAAAAAGATTAAATTACTTATTATAATATATGTTATATGTTTTTCTAAAATATTTATGTATATCATTATAATATATAAGTGAGGTAAACTAGTTTGAAAACAAATAATAAATAAATATTTTAAAATAATTTTTTTTTAATATTCATAAATTAGTCAATTAGTATTATAGTCTTCTAGTCCTTAATATAAATCTAATTGTTAAGTTAATTTTAGTACTAAATATGATATTCATTTGTCATATTTATCAATTTTTTCTAAATTACCCATATGAATGCCCCTTAATCATAATCAAGCAAGTGAGATGAAGGATATTAAGAAAGATGATTACGGTGTTTTAGAAAAAATATGTTATATTTTTTATAATGAACTAATTTACCTAACTTCCTTAATCTAATCAAATTAGTTAAATAGGTCTTATATTAAGGATAAGAAGAGTATTAAGTACGGTAGATTTCGTTTCTTTTGAAAAGCAGCTTGGTGAAACTGCAATCTGGTCTGGAAATTGCCCACTTATTGCACCAAAAAAAAAAAAAAGAAATCAAACGTAGTTCACATTCTCCAACATTGAAGGGAGCGGCACATGCCAAAGATTCTGGACTTCTGGTTGCAATTCACCAGACTCTGTCCTTCATATATGTTTAAAGATTTGTCCTAAAGCCAGAAGAAATTTGGCTCGGATTGATCAATCGCCCACAAATTACTACCATTTTCTTCTCTTTTCTCTGCTGTGGGATTGGATTATTATTTGAAATGCAAAAAATTAAGCGGCAAGTTCAAATCCTAGGAAAATATCTTGCCATAAGCTTTTTACTCACACTTGTTGGAACATGTAGAAAGCCAAATGCAAATAAAAAGCTCTACTTAGACGCAGTCACTCTTGAAGTTGACATTTCTTTCATCATAGGTCAAAGTATAGTTATGACATGAAGCTGGAAGTCATGATCGGCATTGACACTGGGGAATAAGAATGGAGAGAGATAATAATTTTGAATGGATATCATTTGGTAGTGATTGGTCCATTTAAATATTGATGAAGTAGTTAGTAGAAATATAACTTATAACAGAATGAACCCAACCCACAAAAACCGACGAGTTCGGGCTAGCTAAAAGCTAACTCTTTGGTGGCAGGTCTTTTTAGCTCGCATCTTCAGACCCACAACCCGTGATATTATCATTTCAAAATGGAGCAGCGTACTGTGAACATGGAAAATTTAAAGCTGAAATACCCCTAGTATTTCACTCTTGCATTGAAGTTGAAATTTTGACTGTACATGAAGAAGGTATTCCACTTTTCCGGCAGGAAAAGTTTACAAAGTCAATGTCTACGACAACTTCATGAAATCCATCACTCTTATTTAGAATGAACATGCTTAGGACCATTATCTCCTCCATCACATCAAGATTAGGGAACTTATTATGTACACAATTATTGGATATAGTAAGTCACCATTGATCATGAAAAGCAACACATTGTTGCTGATTGGCTAGCGCACCAAGCAAGTAACTAACAATCTTAACATTAGGATTTTTAACTGTCCCGCTCAGGGTGAACTTGTCTCTTTAAAGAGTCTTGATCTGGTCCTGCTTTTGTGGCCTTATAAAACCGCAACATATAGGCAGGCTCCTGTGAGTTTGGAGCCAAGAAATCGCTCCACAAAATATAATTGTTAATATATATATATATATTATTTCCAATCCTAAATATATGAGTTCAATAGCTAATTTATATAAATTAAGAAAACTAGTTATTTGTTAATATAATATATGTGTTGATTTTTTTTAAATTCTTATTTTAGTGATTTGCATTGAAAACTAACCCTTGATAGACGCATACTTATATGTATTAAAAGATAGTTTAGGAAACAATTGTACCTTAGGAGACAAAACAAATTAGGGTTTGTTTGATACGAGGAAAATGAAAGGGAGGGTAGGGGAGAGAAATTTTAATGAGCTTGATTTAAAAAATCGAAAAGTGAGGTTAAAAGCTTTTAATTAATTCTTACTCTTTTATATTACATCTTTTCTTTATTAAATTTTAAAACCCTACTTTTTAAAATTTTTTTTTTAATCGAGCTCATTAAATTTTTTCCTCCTCTCCATTTCCTTGATACCAAAAAAGCCCTTAGAGTTTTATATTTGGGATTAAAACTGATTCTTCTATTAGCTTTCATATTTAAGACTGAATGAAGTGCGCATGCATACACTTATAGATATACATGCATTTCTCCTGTCATGGTTGGGAAACTAGTTAGAGGGTTGATTTTAATTAGTTCTAACTATCACATTTGTTAAAACTAAATAATTTATTTGAATTTCTTCAGTCACCCGAACTAATTAAGTGGTTGTTATATTAAAGGAGTATTTATCATAGCTAGGGGATAGAGATGAAAATGCAGTCAGCAATTAATTAAAAAGTGTGGCGACTAAACAAGAAATTAACGAGATAGAGAGCTGCTAGTCAGAACCCACCTAACAAATTTACAAACTGTTAGGTTGATCACATGATGATTAACACTAAATCCAAACCCAAATCATCATTATTATTAATGTTACTCTTAGCCTACACCTACACGAGTTCTCTCGTCTTCACCTACCTAAAATCTCTTTACTTCTTCGTATAATAACACCACTGTAGCTGATTGGCAGCCCTTCGTGTTGTTCATCCTCTCTTTTTGCAACTCTTCGTTTTGTGATCACGCAGAAGAACAACACATTGTTATGGATTCTGATTCAGTAGTCCCAAAGACCGTTTGTGTCACTGGGGCTGCTGGCTTCATCGGTTCCTGGCTTGTCATGAGACTACTCCAACGTGGCTATACTGTTCGAGCCGCCGTGCGTGACCCTGGTTCTGTTGTATCCCCACAACTTTCACTTCTATGAAGGATTTCATTAGCAGATTTCTATTTACATATTTTCTTGAACATATTGTGTTACTTCCTTCCATCCTAAACACACACACACACACAGACACACACAAGAGTCTGATACTCACTTAATCATTTGTACATGGTATTAGAGCCCGACTCAGGTCAGCTAATTAGACAAACTAGTGAAAGTCTCTTGGCCAGTCTGGGCAAGAGTTTGATCTGATTGATTGAGTTGGATTTTACGTATTTATTTCTTTTCTTATCGAAATTGAAATGATGTTGTTGAGTTTAAAAAAAAAAAAAAACAGTCCATCAAATTTATAGTACTTTAATAATTTTTTTTATTGGATTATGTGTGACTTGTGGAATAATGCTTTTTATTTAAATATTATTTTAGTTATAATTGGCTTCATCTCAGATTGGTCCCAATTTAAACTACTACCTCAGTCCTAATTATAAAAGCTAATTGACTAATTTAAGGTGATTAAAAAATGAGTTAAATTAGTTATTTGTAATAAATAAGTGTTGCCTTTTCTAAAATTCTTACTAATTAAATATATTAGATAGAACTACTATTATTAGAATGATTACCTTAAAAAAATGCATAAATATTAGAAACAAAGTGGATTGAGGTCTTATATTTAAGATCAAAATAAAAGTCAATCGATGTCTTATATTAAGGACCGGAGGTAGTATTAACTTTTGTATTACTGTTTTAACCAATTTATTGATCAGTTTGGTTTTTAGAACCTTGCAATTGCATTAAAGAAATCACCTCATGCGTAGGAAACCTCCATAATAATAAGGGTGGCTTAAAAAAAAAAATAAATTTAAAAGGTAATGTAAATTGACCTTACATTTAGAATCAAAATAATTCCATCAACTAGCTTCTATGTTTAAAATCAAAGGGATTATATTAAAAAGCTAGAAAATTTATTTTGAAGTATGGGAGGTACCAAATGGGTGCAGGAGATGTTTTTGAAAGACAAAACTTTTGTCTGATTTTGAGACTCCCCTGGGAGTCGTGTTACTTCTTTTTATCAAGCCTTTGCTTGCTTTTTCATTATTAAAAAATATTTTGATTATTAAATATAAATTGTGTTGTTTTATAGATAACATGAAGAAAGTAGAGCATTTGCTAGATTTGCCTAACGCCGACACACACTTGACTCTGTGGAAGGCAGACCTTACCCAGGAGGGAAGCTTCGACAATGCCATCAATGGCTGCATTGGAGTTTTCCATGTGGCTACACCTTTCAATCTTGAAACCAAGGACCCTGAGGTAATTTAATTTCCTCCTCTTATTTATTAAATTATTCTTCTTAAACTATTACTTTTTAAAATTATGTTAACTGTAATAAATAAAAGCATAACAATTATGAATTTGATTGGGGCATTTTTTTTGCAGAATGAAATGATAAAACCAACAATCAATGGTTTATTGGACATTATGAAAGCATGCGTGAAGGCCAGAACAGTGAGAAGATTGGTGTACACATCTTCTGCTGGAACTCTTAGTGCCACGGAGCA